TAAATAAAATTAATTATAATAGTATATCAATGATACTAAAAGAACACAGTCTAGTGGTTAGGAGCTGAGGTATTCAAGCATTAAGCTACCGTAATTATTTAATTTATTATTTATTGTTTTTATTTGTAAAATAAATTTAAAAGAAATGGAGATCTGTTGTATTTTTAAATGTTTCCTTATATTTGTTCCTTAAATTGTCTTTACTTGGTCTTAAAAAGTCTTTAAAATGTCTTGTATTTCATAAACCCAAAGTAAGAATCTGCTGAGAAGCACTGATCTAAATCCTGCTAACAATAAAAATGCTTTACGTGTCAGTGTGATAGAAGCATCTTCTCTGTACCTGTGTGTGTTCTCAGGTGTGCTTTCAGGTGGGAGCTTTTGAAGTATGTTTTCCCACAGTCGGGATGGGTGCAGATGTGATTGCGGGGCCGTGACGGGACGGCTCCAGATGCGGGGCTGTTTGCGGACGAGTCGCGGGCTGGAGCGGGAGCGATGGCGGTGAACTTCAAACCCAATGAAGGTGCTGTGACTGTTTGTTTAGGGGGCAGAATCACCACGACTGAAGATTTGGCCACAAACACCACAGACGCCAGAGGAGGAAGCATCTGGAAGACTGAAAGCGCTGGCGAGTTTCCAGACGGAGAATCCGACAGCGCTGCAGCAGGGGCTGATGGGGGATCTGCTGAAGATCTGAGCGGATCACGATAGGTGTCTGACGTGTGCCGGATCACACTGACCGCTTGAGATCTGGCCTCCGGTGAAGCCGTGACCCCTGACCCCAGGTGCAGGTCGCTGTCGGGGCTGTACGGTGGAGTCATGCATGACATTACCTAAAAAAATACAACCAGTTCATGACTGTTTCTACATAGGAATTAATGAAACCGGTTTGGCCCGATTACTGTATTTACATTTATGGGTGAATCTCACAAAAACATGTTCAGGTCATATTGTGCCATTATTTTCATGCATCTCTCATTATTGTAACCTAGATGTTTTAGTTTTGAGTTTTGGCCATTTCAGTCAGAATCTCATTAGATTACTGAAATGCAGTCCTTTTATTACTGTATTTTCCTTATTACTGTACTACAATGAGTTTTACGGCATACAGGTAAAATTACTACTGGACCTCACACTAATAGATGATCAAACTAATAGATCTCACCATATTTTCCCCAGTTGATAAGACAATTGTTTTGTATCTGTTTTCTGAAATGTTATGTTTAAATATGCAAATGAGGCATTAAATCATTAATGAGGCATCTAATTAAATATGCACTAATTTGCAAACATTTCCAAGACATAAATCTGAATGTTTATCAGTGTCATTTAATCACTTGGATATTATAGTTTTTATTATTATTTCGAATAAGTTTTTATTTTTATATTTTCTGTTTTCACTTTAGTTTTATTTGTCTATTTATAATGCTTATAATATGTCTATAGATTTTTTAATTTTTTTCAGTTTTAGTTATTTTAGTACATGAAGTTTTTTTCTATTTTTACACCGAGGTTTATTTTATATTTTATTTTATTTGAAGGAACAATGGTTTTAGTCGTAGTCTTAGTTAACTATAATAACCCATATATATATATATATGTTTTTTTTTTTTTTTCCCTCCACAAATTGACTATTTGCATGACTTCACAAAGTAGAAATGCAAAATGTAATACTTTTTAAAATTATAATAATGTTTTATGTTTAATACCTTTCTAAAAATCAAGGCAGTTTTATAAAAATTATTGCAATTCATGATTTTAATCAATCTGAACACTGGATGAAGCCAGGATCAAAATTATAGTTTGATTTTGTTGACATATTAGAGTCAGAGTTTTTAAATATCTTTTTTACCACTCCATAAATCAGAAAATATATGTGTTGTTCATTGTTTTGTACATTTTCAACATATTTTTAGGAATAAAATGTTTATATTTATATATAGCAGGCAAATGAAACCCTTCAGAATATAGATAGGAATAAAACTGTACAGTTTAGTGAATGTAGGTGCTGTTGAAATGGAGAAACAAACTCACAGCCTTTAAAGATATGAATTGGAATTGAAATCTACAGATGTAAATAGATTAATGCAATAAAATAAACACTTTAAAATGTATTTTGGATGTGCATGAAAAAAAAAACATTGGCTTTGTCTGTAGTGTCTTGCCTTAATTTAAATCTGAACAAATGCAGTGCAAAAACATATGCATCAATACTTTACAGTTTAAATGGTATATCATTTGTTTACATTACAACAGTGAGGTTTAGATTTGCATAAGGCTTTTGTATTACAGTATTAAGAATTATGGGGGTAGATATTGTTTGGAACATGACCTGGATGTGTTTGTGAGCTTCACCTTTGTGTCGGGTCTCACTCACAGAGGTCGACTGGAGGAAATCAGCAGCGAAGGGATCTTCACACACATCAGAGGACGCTGTCAAAGCACGAAACTCCCTCTGCTGGAGGTTCATGGACATCAGGGCCTCCACAGCTTCTGAATATCTCCCGTCTGAATCTGAGCACGCCACAGGCTGCTAGATGTGACAAAAGGAAATTAAGTGCATTACCATAATTCATTATTATGGTTACACTTTATGTTAAGGTGTCATTGTTACAGTGTAATTATACATATAAGTACTGAGTAATATTAATTAACTACATGTACTTACTATATGGTTAGGGTTGGGCTCCTAGGGTTACTTGCATGTAATTATGCATAATTAATTATTATAATAGTACGTACATGTAACGTGTAACAAGCACACCTTAAAATAAAGTGTTACCATTATTAGCTTTTCATTAAACTCACAAACCTCAGTTTGGGAAACCTTGATGTAATATAATGTTTAATGCACTTCATGCTGTTCATAACAGCAATGGAATAGATTTTCTTTATGTATTTTTATATGAATATGGTACAAGATTATCCTATTTACATCAATGTGATAAACGAGTTGGATCCAAAGTAATCTAAAAGTAGTCTGATTAGATTACCTAAAATGTGTAATGTAATGGATTACATTATACAATTTTTGTAATTTAAAATCAGTAACAGAACTATATATATATATATTTGTATTTTAGGGCTGTCAAAAAAATTCGAATTTCGAATATTCGTCTAATTTAAAATAAAAATCCACATTCGAATGCAAAAACGAATTTTAAGTGTGCGTTAAAGAGGCAGCCTTATCAGTGGCGCACGAGATACGATGATGACGATGTAAGTGTCATTGCATTTTAATGTTTTTGTCAGCCTATTCAGTTGAAGCCACTAGATGCGGCGCTGCT